AGGCCCTGGGTTCGATTCCTCAACACCACATAAGCAAAAAGAATAAAGCTGGAAGTGGCGCTGTGGCTCAAGTGGTAGAGTGCTAGCCTTGAGCTGAAGAGCTGAGGGACAGCGCCCAGGCTCAGAGTTCAGGCCCCACGACCGGACACCCCCCCAAAAAATGAGTAGCATATCTAAAACCAGTTATATTTAATTCATAGTTCTATGAATAAGTTGTTGAAAGTAATCCACCTCACATACTGTTTAACATTTACATTTTTTATCTTATGCATATTTTGTATTTACCCCAGTGAAAAATAGGACACTAGAGTTACATTTATTTTGTTTGTTGGAATATCTTAAAATTTGTTGTTGGCAGTAAAAGATGAGATTAGCTAGGTGGGCTTCCATTGAAGACATAATTAGACTTTGGAAAATCTAGAGTGCATCTAAGATGCTGCTGAATGCTTGACATCAGAGTATGCTCCTAAATGGTGCTCAGGAGGTAAAAGCTCAAGTGATCAAATAGTGAATAGAAACCATATTGGTTTCTTAGAATTGCCTACAGAACAAAGAAAAAAAAAGTGGATAGGCATCTAATAAGCAGGATTTTTCAAAGGTTTTCTGGCTATTAATTAGTCAGGATTAAAAATAATTGAAGCTAGAGAATTGGATACAGTACCAGTAGAGATATGGAGCATATGGCAGAACAGAATTAGAGAGCAACATCCTTAATAGAGAAGCCCACTACTGCTGAATTCAAGCTGGAAGGAGATTAACTCAATTTAAAGACCTTAGTGTGGTGGAAGGAGACTGCTACAACACAATACTGTTTCAATGCTCACATACAAAACTCATAAAGAAAAAGAAAACCAATGAAATCCTCATCTGTCTTAATAGTTTATATTCTTCCAACTTTTATATTTCACTTTAAAAAATATTGTGTCCTTATATGTACATGTATTCATAATGTATAACCCACTTTGAGAATAGAAAACTGAGTAAATAAAGACAAAACAATTTTTGTGGACATATATGTACTTGAAATTTCACAGTGTCATCCACACTGTGAAAGATTATCCATAGCTGGGTGCTGGTGGCTCACCCCTTTAATCCTAGCTACTCAGAAGGCTGAGATCTTAAGATCGTGATTCTAAGCCAGCCTGGGCAGGAACATCCATGAGACCCTTATCTCCAATTAACCACCAGAAATCTGGAAGTGACACTATGCCTCAAGTGGTAGAGCACTAGCCTTGAACTAAAGAGCTGAGGGCCAGCACCCAGGCCCCAGAGTTCAAGCCATGACTGAAAAAACAAACAAACAAACTTCACATTTCAGATTTTTTTTAACCGTACTGGGATTTAATCTAGAACCACTAGAACCCTGTGTTTCTACCACTTGAACCATATGCTACTCCTGCGACTTCATATTTGAGATGTTCCATCATGATAAATGCTCAAATATTTCTAGGATGAACACTCACGTGGATAAGTGAAAAAAATATGGGAAAGGAAACATGATGGAGTAAGAATAGCAGGAATTGACTTAATACCATAATAATTAGATGCAAAGTTAATCAAATTAAGGGTTTCTCATTGATCACTGGAATATAAAAGTAATGTAAGAATATTATCAGCAATGTTTCCATTTATTGCCCTCTGCAAGTCTCTGAGAAACTGGTTTTGTTTTAAAGAGGAAATCCTGAAGTACTTTTCCACCTTCTTGATATTTTTCAGTCATATTAGACTATACATTAAATGTAGCTTCCTCTCCCTGCTTTAAAGACATTATGATCTTTAGTTTATTTTTTATTTATCCCATTAATAATGAGATATATTATGCCCAAACAGCACTAATATTGATAGCAAAATAAATAATTACTGTAATTGAAGTCTGATAGGATAATATTTATTAGGTTTAATATCAACTAATTATCTAAAATTATTTCTTTCTCATAAGTATATGTTTGGTTCTAGTAACAGGGACTCTGCTTCCTAAAAATATCTTGACAGAGACTCTCCCAGTTCTCACTCCCTTTGATAAGATCACTGAGATTATGTCACTGGGTATAAATTTTGGTATGGCCTCTCTAGGGAAGAGGGTGGATACATGGGGTTTTTATAGTTGCAATAATTTGGAACAAGAAAGAAATGGACTCAGCTGTGGTCTCTGTGATCTAATAATAAAAGCTTTGAGTACTCATTACCTTACTCATGTAAACTGTAACCCCTCTGTACAGCATCTTTACAATAAAATAAAGTAAACATATGCTGAAAACAAAGCTTTGAGTAAGAAATGGAAACCAGGCTAAATCTCAGACCTATTGATTTTTTAGCAAACTTCAAAAATATTTTGTGATTTTCTTTAAGTCGTTGGTCTGCTGAAGGTAGTGAGACAGCCTTGTTGAGACTTTTTTTTTCAAATTGTTGAGAAAAGGAAGATGAAGATGCTTCCTGCTGCCAAATCCTATTTGTCATCAATTGTATATATCGCCATTTCCTCATTCCTAGTCTGTTTTAAGACAATTACTGTAACAATATAGTATTTCAAATAATTTATGAGCATTACACATTAGTTCTGAGAGTAGGAAGTAAATCCGAGCAGTCTTCCAATTTATAAGGCATACAATTACAGCAACAGTTATAGTTAATGGTTTTTTGTTGTTGCTACTATCAAAAAATGCTCTTTTAGGCATTTTATTCCTACTGTCTCTAGTCTTCAGCAAATGCAAGCTTTAGAAATTTGCTGCTTGCAAGTGGCCAGTGATGACAAACCACCATCACTTACAGGCAATTTGGTCTTCATTACAAATTAATGAAGTGATAATTGTTCTGTGCAACCTTTTATGTGCAAAGCAAGCTGGTGTTGTTTGCATTGTCTTCCTGCAATTTATACCTCTGTTTTCAAGGACTTGTGAAAGCTTGCCAAAGTTAATTCTACAATGAGAACTCCGTAATTAAAATCATATTTTACATCAAATTATGAATCTCCCCACATAATGGACTCTGTTTGATGTCTAGCAGAATTATGCTGATAGTACAATAAATGTAAAAGAGATTCATCACTTGAAGTACAAGCTAGTCCAAATTTGTTCCCTTTTAGGGGGTTGACCTTGGTTACAGTAATGGAGTTAGGACCATTCTTACTTGATAAGCACCTATTTGTGGTCCTACATCTTAGATGATAAAGGTTAAAGCAAGTAGTATTTTGTACTTGTATTGTTTCCTAAGTTGGTAGGTAAGTGAAGGGCAATTTAAAAATTTCTAAAGTAAATTTTTCCAATTTGTGAAGTTCATACATTTTTTTTGTGAATTCAAGCATCCTAAACCAGATGACTTACTACTCCTCAATGAAGCTTAAAAGTCAAATAAGTGTCATGTTCTTTTGCTTATCATTACCAACATTAATTTTCTAAATTAACATTTTATCTAGTTTTATGATTAGGATTTATGGATTTTCATTCCTCTGAGTCCGATAAATAGTGTCAACATGCTGCTTGTTAAATTAGAATATATTATAACCTGTTACAGCTACTTAAACTGATTAGTGGAGAAAAATTTTGTAACATATTTATATAAGGCCTCTCAAAAATTCATTTATTAGTCTATAAAATTATAATATTCTGTGTTAATCACATTTTTGTAGTGTTAAAAATTACTCTCATGAATGATTCTCGCATATTCCCTCCAAGAAAAATCATGTTTCTTTCATTTTCTTTTCCTAAGAGGTCATTTTCTGTCACATAAAAGACATATGAAGTCAAAACTTAGTAAATATATATGAAGCAAAATTGTTAGCATGTATTCTGCAATCTTACCAGGTATTTAGTGAGGGTTGTATGATACAAAATTTTCCTGAGAACAACAGGGTCAAGGCAAGTCATGAAGAAGAAAAGAAACAGTGCAGTAGAGTTATACCATTAACAAAGGAGTAAAAGACAGAGTATTCTACGCAGCTCCTGACAACAATAAAATGATTCACTTTGATATAAGAGTAGGATATACATAAAATGTGTCATCTAATCTGATCTAACAAGACAGCAAGGTAAAAAACAAATCAGAGGCAAAATCAAGCACAGAGAAAAAGTAAACATAAGGACTACATTTGGAAACAGCTGGTGTAATTGTTAAAGTTTCATAAGTCACATAAACAGTATGATTTTAAGAAAAAGGCTTCTCCAAATTTGTTCCAAGGATAAAATTAGCAGTCCTAAAACATCTTGAAACTTTCAAAGTCTTCTGCAGTGAGAAAAAGTATTCATGTAATCTTAATCATTATAATAACAACAAATTCAAGTATTTTGTAATTTTTTAATCACATCATGTCTAATATGAATACAAATGAATTGCTTGCTTCATCATATTGTCTGCTTTTTATGCATAACTCTCAAGTTATTACTTTAGAGGAGAAATCGTGTATATTTATATTTTTACTTCAGTTTTCCTCTCATCATTGCCCAATGTGGTTGTAACAGAATGTCTGAGTATCTATGAAAATGTCATGCATGAAGACACATACTATTGACATCATTTACATTCATTTCTTTTTACTTTATATTCAAATTTATCATAAAGCTATCCCAAACTGGGAGAAGATTAATAAAGATCAAGTTTCGACGGTGATATTTTAATCTTTTTAAACAGATACGAAGAAAAAAAAACAATAAACCCTAACATAGTGTTATTGGAGACAACTCTTGGGGTTTTAATTTAAAATGTTGACCAGGCACAATCAATTGCAAAGTAACTGTTTATCCCTCAGAGCCACGAAATTGCAATGCAATTCAAGCAATGTTTGCCAAAGTTATGCATTTCCTTGTGTCAAATAAATTCATATACCCTGAAAATAATCAATACTATAAACAAGAATGATAGAGACTTGCTTTACGCCATCTTTTCAGATGAGCAATAGTGTTGTTTCTGTTGATTTGTTGTGTAATTCTTGTGATCCTTTTATATTTTTGTATTTATTATTCTTCATGCTTAACTCATTCATTCTATCTGTTTGTTTGGTCCTTCAGTGGGAGGAGATCAGCGGTGTGGATGAGCACTACACACCTATCAGGACTTACCAGGTTTGCAATGTCATGGACCACAGTCAAAATAATTGGCTGAGGACAAACTGGGTGCCCAGGAACTCAGCTCAGAAGATTTATGTGGAGCTAAAGTTCACCCTGCGGGACTGTAATAGCATCCCACTGGTTTTGGGAACTTGCAAGGAGACTTTCAACTTGTACTACATGGAGTCTGACGATGACCACGGAGTCAAATTCCGAGAGCATCAGTTTACAAAGATCGACACCATCGCAGCTGATGAAAGTTTCACTCAGATGGATCTTGGGGACCGTATTCTTAAACTCAACACTGAGATTAGAGAAGTAGGCCCTGTCAACAAGAAGGGATTTTACCTGGCATTTCAAGATGTTGGTGCTTGTGTTGCCTTGGTATCTGTGAGGGTGTATTTCAAAAAGTGCCCGTTTACAGTGAAGAATCTGGCCATGTTTCCCGACACAGTACCCATGGACTCCCAGTCTCTGGTGGAGGTGAGAGGTTCTTGTGTCAATAATTCTAAGGAGGAAGATCCTCCCCGGATGTACTGTAGTACAGAAGGAGAGTGGCTGGTGCCCATTGGCAAGTGCTCCTGTAATGCTGGATTTGAAGAAAGAGGTTTCATGTGTCAAGGTAAGAGTCTTCTATTTTTTTTTTATTTCTTTTCTATTTATTCTGTGTGAGTCAGGGGTAATGTAATAGAAAGAAACAAAAATAACCTGACCACTTGGCAATAAAACTTGACTTTAACAAACCTGTGTGTAGATTATATCCATCCCACTAGACAAACACACTTGGAAAACACACTTGTAGACATACAAGTGTGTTTGATTATGCAGTGCTGGCTTACATCCCACAGAGGTGTCATGTATACTACTGAAAATTTTCTGCTATTTAATGGCTTAAGAGAGTCTATCTGTAACAACTGAAGGAAAAATAAATCTGTCCCTTTTTACGTAGAAGGTAATTATATCTGGGATTTAGCTAATCTAAGATAGAGAATTGGAAATTGTATTGACTCTATTTGTGGCCATGTATCTTAAAGTAATTTAAGCTTAAGTCTCAAAGTAATTTAAGATTAATTGCTATAACATATGATCTCTTCTTCAGTGATATGTGACTGTCTAATAGATGTATACTTACAAAGGCCTAGGACTCAAAGTAATTTCTAACTTAAAAGAAAAATCAAGGTTTGCTGGGTACTGATGGTTCAGGCTTGTAATCTTAGCTTCTCAGGAGGCTGAGATCTGAGAATTGAGAGTTTTTCCAGCCCAGGTAGGAAAGTCTATGAGCCTCTTATCTCCAATTAACTACCAAAAAGATGGAAATGGAGCTGTCGCTCAACTGGTACAGCACTAGCCTTGAGCATGAAACCTCAGGGACAGTGCCCAGGCCTTGAGTTCAAGCCCCAGGACAAGGACACACACACACAACACACACACACACACACACACACACACACACACACACAAATCAAACATGATGCATTTATTTTGGATATGTACTGATAATATGTCTTATACTTTATGTTTGCTCCATTATTTGGCACAGAAGATTATATCTCTCCTGGGTTTTAATGTGTATTTATAATTAATATAGCAATAGAGAACTTGAATTCTGTCATCAGGTTGAGTTACATTGAAACTCAACCTGTATTTGACATAAAAATCAATTAAAATGTGTTGTTCATATAATAGCATATATGTTAGATGTAGCAAATCGCAATTCTACTCATTTTCAAGGTGATATTACGCAAGGCTTTGTTTGAAAACACTGAATTATTATCTGAATTTTAAGTGTTTAAATGTATAGCATAATGCAAGCACACAGTTCTTTCACTGAAGTTCCTAACTACAGTGGTAGTTACCTCATACAACATATGCATTCCAGAATGTGAGGCTTATAGTTTATTGAATAATTATCTTAAAACCTCAAAATGCATAAGTACCATTAGAAAGCTGTCTTCTGAGTTTGCACCATAGAGAAGCCTTAACAAAGATCTAAAAGCCATTAGTAGATCAATTTCTGATGTAGCAATGAGATATTTCCAATTATCTTTAATAATCTATATTGATATTGGGACAGTTAAAGCTCAGTAAACTGAATGGCAAAAATGTCAACGTCCTCATTTCATAGGAAAAAATACTAGTAACAATGCTTTGTATTTAATGACTATCCGTTTTAGAATAACAAATAAAACCAAACATGGATCAAGATATGATATATTCATAAATGGTCTGTTAAATGGCAACCTCTTTGTACAACAACTTAAAGAAAATAAAAAAAGAAAAAGAAAAAAATAATTAGCTTTCCATAGTGCCAGAAATCTAAACATGAAATTACATTTCTGCTGGTTTACTGTCCACTTTTTTTTGGCTTTACCTGAACATAAAATAAAAAATATTAAAAAGTATTCTTTGACCATGTATCCATTTATTTAAATATTCATTTATTGATCTTCTAAGATGTGCCAGTTTCTGTGCTGAATATAAAAATTAATGACAAATGTTATCATTGCTAAATTAATTGGGTTTATAAGTAAAAAATGCATATGTTTGTGATTAATGTTTTAGTCTCCATCTCACAGGGAATAGATTTTTCAACTTATTTGTTATACATAGCAATTTTAATAGTTGAAACTAGAAGAGAAGCTGTTATTGTTACTGGGAATAATGTATTGATATAGGACAAAATATGTTATAGAAAATTAAAATTTTCTACAGTAAGATGCTATGCATTTACTGTGCTGTTCTGCTTTAGATATTTGTTTGACTGAAGAAATAAGATAAAGGGCACATAAGGAAATGTCAACATTTATCTTTCAGTAATTGTTCAGAGGGGGAAAGTAAGAGAGTAGGAAAAGAAATATTGGCAGCTAGAAAATCATCATTAATGACATGCTAACCAAATCAGAATTAGTAAACAATCAAATAAAACACAACCACAGGAAGATAAAGAATACTTGTTACAGCAAATGGGATGAAGTAAGGTATACACATGAGCTTAAATTGATAAGGAATAATGGGTATGTTAATAAGGAATGTTAAAAATACTGGCAAGTATCTGCCAGAAGTTCCTACAATAGGACTTCTATTTAAGTAAGTTATTTCACATTTAACAAATGGGAGGGTAATATTTAATCTCTTTTAGTTTGTTATAGTTTTCACTTTAGTTTGTACAGCTTACACCTTATTAAAGTCATGTACTAGGGTCTTGAATAACTTGATGATGGTCAATGGTGGATTGAGTTGCTTTTATAGGATATCAAGAAACAAATTTTCTAAGTATTATTTTGAAAATTCAAAATTATAATAGAACTTTTAAACCTAAAGCCTCTATCAGTTTTATTCAATCAGAGATTACTAAGAGTTCACATGGTTATTTACCTGCTGTATCCTTAAATATGTCATTTACTTGGTGTCTGTGAGTAGTATTCTAAGACTATGGGGGGAAACTTTGCATTAATTCCAAGGGTACCTCATAATCACTTTTCCCCTGTTCACTCTTGGCTAATGAGTTATATTATCTCACTCTGGAAAGAAGAAATTAGACTGCTAATGGATTTTTATATAGCCAATTAATTACATTGAGGGAAATGACAAGAGGTTACTATAAATATTCCTGCTCATGCAAAATTTGTTTAGACTTTGTATACCAGATATGTAAACAATGTCACTGAAAAATCTGTTGTTTCTGTTCATTATCTCTGCATATTCATTGTAGAATGTTATATATTTTTATTCTTTTACATTAGCAGATGAATAGAAATGTGTGTTTGATGTGATATATAAAAGCAGCTATAACTTTTGATTATCATCAGAATTTTTTTTTGGAGGGGGGGTGTCCGGTCGTGGTGCTTGAACTCTGGGCCTGGGCGCTGTCCCTCAGCTCTTCAGCTCAAGGCTAGTGCTCTACCACTTGAGCCACAGTGCCACTTCCGGCTTTTTTCTTTTTGCTTATGTGGTGCTGAGGAATCGAACCCAGGGCCTCATTCATGCAAGGCAACGCTTTACCACTGAGCCACTTTCCCAGCCCCAGAAATTATATTTTTTTCACTTATGACTTACCATACCAGTTCCTACTTTCTTTATAGTCTTCTGTCAGTTCAGATGTTTTTAAAGGATGAGTTTCAGGGGCAGACTTATTTTACAATGTCTTCTTGTTTTTTCAAAAATGTTAGAGAAAACGATAAATCTCTAAGGAAAGCTTTTAGCACCTATAAATCTGTATGCAAAGCTACAAAATGTTTACATATTTTAAGGAATTTAGAATAACTTCTTGCCATTTTTTGTGATAAAAGTTCCTTGAGGGTAAAGGCCACTGTTTCCTTTTGGGAAACTTCATGCCTACAACACAGTAGATTCTTATTCAGTAGACTTTCTATTACATACTTAATAAATAATCCATTACTAGGAGATTTCTATGTCACTTATACATTTTTTGTGTATAAGTCCTGGAGAGAACCTAGGTTAGGCTGTTCAGAAAGACATAATTTTATCTCATTTGAGATGAGCACATGGAATTATTATGTCGCTTATAGTGCAACCAGTATACAATAGATTTATTTCAACTCTCATTAGAGAATTATGAAGGAAAGGAATAACATTAGTTTATATTGTAATAAGTTTTTCTATTTTGTTAATTCATGTAAATTTTCTGTGTTATAAAAAAAAAACTCAGGGCTGGGAAGGTGGCTCAGTGATAGAGTGCTTTCTTTGCGTGCATGAGGCCGTGGGTTCAATTTCTCAGTACCACATAAACAAAAAAGGACAAAAGTGGTGCTGTGGCTCAAGTGGTAGAAGGCTAACCGTGAGCTGAAGAGCTGAGGGACAGCACCCAGGACTTCAGTTCAGGCCCCGTACTGATCAAAACAAAACAAAACAAAACAAAAAACAAAAAAAATTCATATAAAACTCACATCTATAATACAAAAAGTGATTTAGCAAAATTTTGAAATTTTGAGATCTTTGAAATTCTTGTAGCTAGCAATCACAGCATTGATTCATCTTGAATGATTGCATTACATATAAACATTACATTATTTATAACTCCAATTTTCTTTCCTTGAATTATAAAAAAAGTTTTCCTTGAGTTTAAAATAATACTTCTCCTTTTCCACTTTGCTTTATAAAAATGTTTACGTCGTTGTACAAAGGGGTTTCAATTCAGCATGGCAGTTTGTGAGGACATACATCTCAATAAATGTCATCCCTTGCACCAATTCCACCATCTTTCCCAACCCTACTCTTTGCTTTTAGTAGTTGTACAGCCACGATTTTTCAAATCAGTGAGTTTTTAAATGAAAATATGCCAGTAGTATTATTGTAAATAAGTTTTCAAATGTTCAATTAAACAGATGTGTTTTGACAGTTTTGTAGTAGCTATAAAATCTGTGATTTATGCAATCTTTTTTGTTTTCTCATAAATTTATATAAATTGTTGGAACACTGAGTTGGTGTTACACTGAGTTTGCCCTCAGATTTGTTTGGATTTTATTGTTCTAGTTAGCAAAAGCTCTTGCCACTACCAAGTATTTAAGGAATGATGCTTATCAATTTTGTTTTTAAACACAAGGATTGTGCTCAAACTCCAGGGATTGCTTCATCCACAAAACAGATGGCTTTCAGAATGGC